AATATTAACATATCATATTATCATAGTACATACATTATATATGTTAGACTACCTAAAGAGGTTAGACTCTCCAGTGAGAAATTCCAGGGCAGAACCCAACTAGTTGAGCTTACATGACTCAGATTATATGCAGACGAGACTAGTTAAGACCTGTTGGAACTATATTATTCAGTTAATTATAAACGACATTATATTATTGAATACAACTAAATTTATATCTAGTACTCCAGCGAGAGATGGCATAACTTACATATTATATGTATCATTGATATATATGGACGATTGATCATATAGTATATCATATATTTGAAAGGCCTCCTGCTATGGCATGCTAAATCGATCGTCTCATGCTGAAATTGAGATGCATCGCTTTGTGATGATTTGAAAATTCCATTTGTTTCCAGTTCATTTATAATATTTCATTTATGTGCATTACCATAGTTTCCCACGGCGTGTAATTGAAGCACTGGGCAGAAGTGTTTTAGCTAAGTTTTCTATACTCAATTGTTTAACATTGGGGATGGTCAGGAATTCCTCTTTGTGCTCCCACAGTTCAGGAGGCGTTGGTTATTACCATGTTTATGCCTGATTGAACCAAGTGCATAGGTTGACCTTCGAAGCTAACTCAAAATCTTTAGGTAAACAAATTGTATTGCACAAATAACTTCAAGTATGGATAGTAAATAAAAACATTAACTATTTTGAGCATTTGTTTCTTCAGCTTTGTAAATATTCATTATATATATATACCTATGTAAAATTATAAAATCAAGCYCAGTCGAGTAGTAAATGTCTAAATAGGTGTACCTATATAAGTCCAAAATTTAGTTTTATCTTCAATATAAAAATCTTACATTTAATAAAAAAAAGAAGTCCGGTTGCATAATAATCAAATACGCTCAAAAATCCTAAGTTAAAAAAAAAAAACTTGTTTTCAAATTTCGTATGCTTCGATGGGTCACTTCAAGGTATATCTCTAGCACAAATTGAGCCTGGAAAACTTGGCTATTTAGTAATAGATTCATATATGTATCCATATGAAAAGTTGCATACAGTGTGATATCCAGCTTACATAGCCTGACAGTCCTCATACGAGATGAAAGGATTTGAGTAGAATGTAAAATGTTAAAGTTGTCCAAAGTCTTTTCAATTATATTTAATTAAATTCAATTCATTTCACATTTTAGCAATAATCATTTGTTTTCATTAATACTGTGTTAACTCAATTATACCCACAATTATATACTAAAGATTTTGATATATCTGAAGTTTTATGACCCTCCAATTCTAGCTCGACTCAACTCGTTCCTCTGATCAGTAGTATCACTTATAGAGCCTGCCACGCCTCCTACAGCCCATTATATATTTTGAGAATCTCATTGTCAATGGCTTCAGGTTCTCTCTAAATATAGATCGTACGCAATTTTTCACTCTTAACTCGCCTGAGCTGGGAAAACTCAAAGAAAGTTTTACAAAAAATATTTACAAAACTTGTATAATTTGTATTTATTTATTTGAACAGCCGATTAATGATTGGTAGAGATGTCCAAGAAATGAATATTAATTAAAATTAATTAAATTATTACTGATGCTGCTGCTGCTGCTACGACTGCCTACTTATGATCTATTAGATAATGCCCGGGCCCGGGTCTGGGCCCGGGTTTGGGGCTGTGCCAAATGCATGACATATGAAGCTTCTTCATTAATATTTATATGCGATGGACTGAAGAGTGTGTGGCCCGGAGGGCACAGAGGGCGCACCCAGCCCGCGCTATAGATATGGCTATGGTCGATGGCTATCGCTATGGCTATCGTCGATAGGTAGATAGACCCGTTTGCATCGATATCACTTCCCTAATGAGCCGACACGTTTATTAGCACATAATTAATGGGCTGGCTCTAAGAGCTGACTACTATAACTCTCCGTTTCTGTTCGATCCACTCATCCCGCCTCACGCCGTCAGCCAAACCCTTTTTGCTGCTAATGATATAATAATTTTTTTTGCCATTATTGGGCAATGACAGAAAACTTTAGCAAACATTTTCGAAAGACGCAATCGGAGTGGATGAGCCATATGCATATGGATGTTTACTTAGCCAAAGACTAACCTATGCAGTGGAATACCCTGTAAAATAATGTCGAATAATTCTTAAGCTGTTTGCCATCCATTCGATGTATATCTATTTTAAAAATTAGTTTATTGTTCAATCTATCGATAACTTTCAATATAATGGCTAGTAAGATCTTAAGTTATCAATACTATAGCAAATATCTATTGGGACGATAATAATTGATAATACAAATGATTGACCCATTCTCTTGACTGCGTGCTTATAAATCGATAGCACAGGTAAACATCGATAGCGAAAGGGTTATCGATAACGTGCATTAATGATATTTATCGACGGTCTGACGAAATGCTAACTCAACCAGCGATCATGTCAAAAAATCACTTGATACATTTCAATATCGAACATATTATCGATAACAATATTTATCGGCCAAAATTTCAACTACGTCAATTGTAAAATCAACGTTTGCTTATTCCATTCCATTTCCATTTCTCTATTGTAGAGCTACCCTACATTCGCCTTGACTTTCTAAAATCTGGCTCATGAAACGATAACATGGCGATAGGTTCGCCAAGCATCGATTGCTGCCTGAACTCTACGAGATCCACTCAATACCTTTTCTCTGTGGAATGTATTATCGATAGCATGAAATAATGATCAATTTACCATATCATTACAGGAGCTAAGAAAAAACAACTTTCGATTATATATCGATTTCCCATTCCATGGAGGACAGCCCCATCTCAGTGAAATGCTAAGAAATTGTCATGAAAATTGATATTTGATAAATGGAAACTGGAGTTACATTAATTATAATTAGGTAAATGATGATGCAACTCCAACACCCAAAGAGAGAACCTGTGCATAACTTATTGCTGCTGTTGCTGTTGCTGCTGTTGCTGTTGTTGCTGTTGCTGCTGCTGTAGGCATTAATAAAACAACATCCGCAGACGGCATAGATCCGCGGAATTGGCATAGTGTCGAGTTTCTGGGCATTACGAATGAAATATTTGTAATAACTCAATAAACAATTTGCATTTGAAGCTCGCCACATGGAGAGAGCGAGAGCGAGAGCGTGTGAGCGGGATGCGGATAGAAAGTGAGAGTGAGAGTGAGACGGAGGCTGATAAAGATAAAACTTGAAACGCAGCTGCCAAAAATGTTGCGCAGGCGCCGTTTGAATTAATGAAAGGCCAGCGCAACTGTTTGGGCCATGGCACTGGGATGGCACTAAAGCGACACACGCACACACACGCACACACATGCACACATTGGCGCTGCTCGCACGCACAGCCACTGTCAATGGAGATTGTAGCAAATGCTGAACTAATGCGCGCCCTTGTATAAAACGCGTGGCCGGGTCAAGCTGGGCCATCATTGAACGGTTGGACATCGAGGGCTTAAGCACGACCAACGTGAAGATGAATGTAAGTGCAGGAGCTACAATAGCAGCAGCAGCAGCAGCAACAGTTGCTATAACTAGCTACAACAGCAAGTGCAAGTGCCAAAAATCAAAACTCAAAGTGCCAAAAACTCAAACGAAAAACTCATTGAAAGCAAACAAAAAAAAAAAWAAAAAAAAAAAAAAAAAACAAAAAATTTAAAAAAAAAAAAAAAAAAAAAAAAAAAAAAAAAAAAACGAGGACTAAATTGTGTTCATTTATAAATAATTTACTATATTATCCAATTGGTTGTTTTTTTTTTTAATGTGCTCAATTTTTTTTGTTTCTGTTTCTGTTGTGATCTTTAAAGTTCATTGGCGCTCTATTGGTGCTACTCGCCTGCTCGCTATGCGGCCTAAGCGCCGCGGATTTGGGGCTGAAGCAAGCGAATCGCTTCGAGGAGAGCAGCTACGGCAATTCGCGCTATCAGATCTTTGAGGTGCACAATCACTATCAGGGCAAGAGCCACGCCTACTTGCCGCCCGCACAGACCAGCCACGAGGAGATACACATACACCAGCAGGCGCAGCCGCAGCAGCAGCAGTTGCAGCCGCAGCAGTTGCAGCCGCAGCAGTTGCAGCCGCAGCAGCAGTTGCAGCCGCAGCAGTTGCAGCCGCAGCAGCAGCAGTTGCAGCCGCAGCAGCAACATGTTGTCGCTGGTAATGATGACAATTTGGATGTTTCATTTCTGAGCTTTGGCGATGAGCGCCAAGTGCAGGCGCAGCCCTTGCCAGCGGCACAGCCAGTGGTGCAGCCCGTGGCTCAGCCAGTGGTGCAGCCCGTGGCTCAGCCTGCGTCTGTTCCGGTGCCTTTTCCTTCCAACTATCAGCATGACTTCCAGCGCAAGCAGGCGCCTCAGCCAGCTGTGGCCTATAGCACGCCAGCTTATTTGCCGCCCACTGTTGCCACGCCCAACCTGCAACTGCAGCAGCAGCAACAGCAGCAGGCATATCAATCGCCAGTTGCCACCACTTTGAACGCTGCTGCACCACAGGTATTCGCGGAGCCAGCAACCGGCTATCAGGCGCCTGATTATCTGCCTCCCACTGCCAGCAGCTTAGATCAGCAGCAGCAGCAACAACAACAACAACAGCAGCAGCAGCAGGAGCAGCAACAGTTGGTGCAGCAGCAACAAACGCAGCTTGTCGCCAAGCCCGTCTATAGTGCCAATGATTATCTGCCGCCCACCACAACAACAACGACAACAGCCACAGCAACAGCAACAGCTGCTTCCATTGTCAGCTACCCACAGCAGCAACAGCAGTTGCAACAGCTTCCACAGCAGCAACAGGTCTATCACGCACCAGCTTATTTGCCACCCAACAGCAACAGCATTGACAGCAGTAGCAGCAGCAACATAGCTAGCAGCAGCAGCAGCAGCAGCAGCATTGTTAGCAGCAATTCGCTTCAATCAAATTATCAGGCCTCTGGCTATCTGCCACCTGGCTACGACTTTACGAATCCCGAATCAGTTTCCCAGCAACAACAACAGATTCTAGCACCACAGCAACTGCCTCAGCAACTGCCTCAGCAACTGCCTCAGCAACTGCCTCAGCAACTGCCCCAGCAACTGCCTCAGCCTGTGCCACAAGCAACGCTGCCTCAGGCAGCCGCACCAGCAGCTGCTTATAATGCTCCTGGCTACTTGCCACCTGGCTACGATTTCAGCAATCCCGACCAGCTGCCTTTGGATCAGATTATTGAGCAACCCCAGCTGCCAGCCGTGCAGCCAGCAACAGTTGGTGAGTATCGCACACAGGGTTACTTGCCGCCCAGCTACGATGCAGCCAAGTCACAGACGCAGGCGCAAGCACAACAAACGAACATCGTTTATCAGGCGCCACAGCAGCAGCCGCAGCAACAGCAACAGCAGCAGCAACAGCAATTGCAGGTGCAACAGCAACAGCCACAGCAACTCAGCCATCCTGGTGCTCTGCCTGAGGGCTACGACTTTACCAAGCCCGAGAACTTTGAGGCTGCCATTGCTGAGCTGCACAGTCTGCAAACGCAAACCAAATTGCTTAAGCAGCAGCAACAGCAGCAGCAGCAGCAGCAGCAACAGCAGCAATTTCAGCTGCAACAGCAGCAGCAACAACAGCAACAACAATTTCAATTGCAGCAGCAACAACGTTCAGCTGGTTCCAACATTATTTATGGCGTGCCCAAGCAACAGCAGCAGCAACAGGTAAGGACAACAGCAACTGCTGTTGCTCCTGCTGCCTATCAGCCGGCACCCACTGTGGTGGCCGCACCACTGCCCGCACCGCCCACACAGCACACACACATTCATGCGCTGAGGAGCTATATGAACAACGTGCAGCCGTATGCGCGCTACGGCCAGCCACAGGCCCAGCAACAGCAGCAGCTGCAGCTGCAACTGCAGCAACGTGTGCAGCAGCAACAAGTGCAGCAGCAGCATGTGCAGCAGCAACAATTTGTTGAGGTGGCGCCCATGTACCGTGAGCAATCGAAGCGTCCGCGTTTCTATGCCCCTGCCATGTCCTACGCACGCACTGCGCTGCCCACGCAGTACCACCAACACCACCACCACATCTTTCACGCCCAACGCCAGCAACATCAGCAGTATCAGCAGTATCAGCAGCAGCAGCAGCAGCAGCCACTGCCTCTGCCTCTGCCCCTGCCACGCCCCGTGCTGAATCTGCAGGCACAACAGTCGCTGAAAAAGTTCATGCCGCGCGAAATGCAACTGGCCGTCAATGTGGCCGTCGCTGCCGCCGCGCCCGTTGCCCGCGGCAGCTCCCGAGTGCGCACCGTGCAGATCGTCAAGCCGCATGAGGTGCGCACATTCAAGGTGCTGGAAACTTTGGATGCTGCTGGCGTGAAGACCATCAAAATCCTGGGCACCAGCAGCGAGCAGCCGCGCGGCCATCATCACATTGTCAAGGTGATCAGCCAGGATGCCAACAATGTGGAGACACATGTGCAGACGGTCAAGATCTACGACGACCAGCAGGAGTATCGCCAGCCACAGCCACAGCCACAGCAACAGTTGCCAGCGGTGGCGCCTCGCGGCTATTTGCCACCAACTGTGGCAAGGCCACGCGAGCGAATTGTGCGTCAAACGCGACCGCTGCGCCTGCTGCCTGTGTCCAGGCACTGAGTCCCACACGCACACAAACACACACACACATACACACATATATATCAACACACAGACTCGTAGCACTGATTAGTTTAATTTCATCAAAGCGTATCGAATTTGTTGCCGGCTCGCGCGCTGTTCAAAACGCGCGCTAGTTTCATTTCTCAACCTAATTTCTATTTTTTTTTTCGAATCCAGTTTAACGAATTGTTAACTAATAAATTTACTTATGTACATAAATTGCTGTTTTATCTAATCGATATTTATCGATATTTGAGGAATTTGAAGAAGTGAATCAAAGCAGACAGCTTGATGGATTGACTAATTGATTGGACTGATTGAATCATAAACTGACTTAAAAATTGACTGATTGATTGAACTGATTGAATCATAGAATGACTTAAAAATTGACTGATTGATTGAAGTGTTTGACTTAAATATTGACTGATTGATTGTCTGTTAAATTGAAAAACGGACTAATTGACTGACTGCCTGAGTGGCATACTGACCTCAGTCTCTCTCAAGATTGATAGACTTTTTGATTGATCGTGCTCACCGATTGATTGATTGACTTCTAGTTGGATTWCTTTCTGACTGATTGAGCAGACAGACTCACTGACTTCTCGATTGATTGATTGAGTTTTGGGTCCACAAACTTGTAGGTGATTGACGAATTGATTGAATAGACTGGCTCACTGATACTTCACCGATTGATTGACTCCTGGCTGACTAACATTCTCACGGATTGGCCTATTTCAGATTGATTGATATTCTTGACTGCTGAATCGGCTGACTAATTCCCTGGCTGACTGACCCACCGGCAGACTAATTGATTGGCTTTCGGGCAATGATTGAGTAACATACGGATTGAATCACAGATAGCGTCCCAGCTCATCTCATACACATTTATTTGGACCTTTTTTAACTGATTTCACGGGTATTCCAATCAAGCCAACTTAAGATGCGCATTGCTGACCTTCGCCGTATTTTATGTGATTTCGATTTGTACACCTTAAATATTTATCGGTAAATTAGCTAACACAACAGCGGCTTAGCAACCGTGGTTAGAGAAAGTCCCGGTCCGGCAAATATGCAAATTGAATAGTTGACGCGTCGCTTTGTTGGGCTACGAAAATTGAATGAAAACCCCACAAACGCGGGCCCAACAATGGAAAAGTCGAACAAATACCAATCAAATCATACTTAGAGCTCAATCAAAGCGCAGTCTTACAACTGCTGATTGATCAGTGTCGCGCTCTCCCATTGCCTCTGCGGTGTCTCGCTCTCTTTCTGCTTGACTTAATTGCCCAACGGCTATCAGCATCGGCTGCCGTGTGACATAACTAGGTGACACACACACACACACACACTCACATACTCTCTCAACTGGGCTACACCCAGTTCCGAGTGCCCAGTCAATGGGCCAATGTCATCGGGTGATGGGTTTATTTGTCTATTTCTCAAATATTTTGCCTTTTGTTTGTTCATTTCATTTATTGTCCCTTTCTTTCTGTTTGCACTCATTGATCTCTGGAGATGCAAAAGCCGAAGAGACTCAACATTTTTATGTGTGGGATTTTTTTTTTCAAGCCTTTTGCTTTTGGAATTGATACCAGATCTACTTTAGATCTTCGGCTAAACATATTTTTACTTTACTTGGATGAAACAAAATGGAAATTCTTTTATGATTCGACTAAAGTATACCAATTTAGTATTTTATTTTTTTTAAATTTATTTTAAAATGTTTATTTGAGTTCAAAAATTGCCCTTATTACCTACTTCTTATCTTATCTAGCTTTATATTAAATTGATTACCATTTCTCTTACAACTTCAGTAGATCGAATAAATATTACAGGGCATCACTGAGCTCATCACGTTCCACTCCAGTGCCGCATCCACAGCTTGCTTTCAAACAGAGCGTGCCTTAAAGTCCAGCCAAATGCCGCCCTTGTGGGCACCCACAAAGATGTACGGATCTAGCTCGATGCCATCAAGGGTACGTACATTGACGAGCACCTCGTACCGCTTAACTATGGCGGCTAGCGCGGCTTTGGTTTGGGTGAGGCCCAGGCGTATGCCCACGCACTGACGCGGTCCATTGCCAAAGCCGAGAAAGACGCCCAGCTGCTGGAAACGCTTGAGACCGCCGTTTAGAAAGCGTTCGGGTCGAAATCGTTGAGGCTCTGGATAATAGTTGGGATCGTGATGCAGGCCATAGATGGGAATCATTACATTGTCGCCTGGCAACATTTGCAGCGGACTGCTATGGTGCCTGCCATGGAAGGTGTAGGGCTCGGTGCAGGTCTTCGACGCCCAGCCGCCAGCTGGATAGATGCGCAGTGTCTCTATATAGAATGTCAGATAGAGAAGAATTGGTAACAACTATATGAAGAAAGATATGGAGAATGTATGCATATACCATGTATATAGAAGAGAATTGCAGGAGAAGAAATACAGGCGAGCGAAAGAGTAGAAAAAGAGAGGGAAAGACAGAGGGAAGCAAAGATAGAGAGTGGAAAAGAGAGAGAAAGAGAGCAGAAAGAGAGGGAGAAAGAGAGAGTGAGCAGAGAGAACGAGAGAGGAAAAAACTAATACAAATTAGAGTTAGTAAGAAAGAGGGAGAGAGAGAAAAAACAAGGGAGAGAGGGAAAAACATATAGGGAAAGAGAGAGAGGGAGGAAGAAGGAAAAATTAGAGGTACGGAGGCAGGGGAGAGAAAGAAAACAGGAGAGAGGGACAGGAAACAAAGGAAGGAACAGAGAGAGAGAGAGAGAGAGAGAGAGAAAGGGAAGGACAGATATTATAGAATGGTTCCATCGTAAATACATATGCCCCAATCAGTTATATGAGTAAATATATGCATTATTCAGTCGATTATCGTAAAAAAAATTTCTATCTCCATGAAAAAAATCAATCTAATTTAAATTTCTTTGTAAATCGGAAACAAAAATCGGATCCCCTTGCCATTATCGGGACTCGACTGTCTGAGTAAAGGTATTAAACGGTATTGTAGTTTACCATTGGATCATCTATATGTATATGTAGCGACTCATTGGACTCACCGTTTAGGCAGGCACTCAAATAGGGCAGCTCACTGAGCAACTCAAAATGGGGCAGCAGCTGATCTTTGGGCGTGGCCTGGTCCAGCTCCAGCCAGAGTTGCTGCTGGCACTCCGGATACCTGCCGAGCTGTACACAGATAAGTATTATATTAGCCGAAAGTAGTTACTGCAGTTAAGGTAATTCACCAATAGCAGGCAGTGGGCGATGGTCGAGGAGGTGGTGTCCAGGCCATCGAACATGAAGGTCATGGCATGTGAGATGAGCTGCTCTTCGGTGAGCTGATGCTGCCGCTGCATGTCCAGCAGATGGTTGATGAAATCGTTGCGCTCCTGTCGCCGGCAGCGCCTCAGATGGAAGGACTGCCGCACCAGGTCGCCAAAGAAGCGCTCATAAGAGGGCGGCACGATCTTGGGCCTGAGGCAGCGCGGCAGCCGGGGAAAGAGTCCGTTCAGAGCACCCGACAGAGCCAGGCGGTAATTCTCCTCCGACATCTCCTTATTGTGCTGCGCCACGGGCAAGCGGCTATCCGTAAAGCTGCGTGCCTCGATGCCTAAGACGCAGTCTAGGAGATTCTCGCTGGTAAAACGTAATCCCAGCTGGAGCAATACAGATATAATGAAACTAACTAGCCAAAAAGAGATTTACAAATTTCACAATGAGTAATATTGAGGACTCACATCTGAGCCATCGAAGGGCTGACCGCTCCTCGACTGCTCATCGATGTAGTCGCAGAGCTGGCCGCAGATCCGCTGCATATTGCCGTAGGCGTTGCGTATGCGCCCGCTGGTCAATAGGGGCGAGAAAATGCCGCGCTGCTGCCGCCACTCGTCGCCATCCAGCACAAAGGGATTGCACGCGATGAACGGATCCTTCCGTGTGTCCACCATGCGCGAGGCATCGTTGTTTTCGAAGCATCGGAAAGCACTCACGAACACCTCGTTGATCAGCTTCGGCTCCAGCAGCAGCAACTTAGGTGCTCTCAGCAGATAGGCACCCACATAGCTGTGCGTCGAGCGATACTGCCTATAATGTAGAGAGTTCCTCAATGATAAATATAAGAGAAAGAAGAAGAAAAGAGATGAGGAAGAGGAAGAGAAAGCTGGAAAGAAAGTCCCCATTGAGAACTATTAGAGGAAGAAGGAGGAGGAGGAAGAGGAAGAGGAACACGAGGGGTAAAGAGACAGGAAGAGTAAGGGAACTAGAAGAGGAAGAAGTGGAGCAGGAAAAGTAAAAGGGGTAGCTGGAGGGGAAACTAGAGAGAGTATTGATTGATAAATGTTGGAGGAAGAGATAGGAAGAGGAAGCGGAACACCAGAAGCAAGAGGAACAGGAAGAATAAAGAGGCAGGAAGACGAAGAAGAAGAGTAACAGGAAAAGTAAAAGGGGTAGCTGGAGGAGAGAAGTTGGAGGGGAAGCTGGAGAAGAATCTGGAGAGAGCCCAGGAAGACGAGGGAAAGCTGAAGGGGAAGTTTGAAGGGAAGAGGAAGATAAGAGCGTGTTATACGAAAGACGAAGAAATAGTAACGGAAATCGTGGAAGAGGAAGAGGAAGAGGAAAGAATACATGCGCATCTTATTCCCATCTGATTCCCCACTCACATATAAAGATCACGCATATCGTTCAGAAAATGTCGCCTCGGCCACACCATGTTGGGAAAAGATCCCAGCAGAGGCAGAGCATGCGGCTCCCAAACTCCACGTCTGCGCCAGTGTCCAAAGTTCCATGCGAGAAACACGAACAGCGCGAGGAACAGCGCGATGAGCGCTAGCAGCAGAGCGTGAAACATGCCAGCTGAGAGTCCGGACGAGCGTTGAGTGGCAACTGACTCCATAATAGAATCGAGTTGCATCCGGATGGGAGCCAGCATTTCAGTGAATGGCTGACCAGACGTTACGTTGCGTTATGCAATAGCACACGACAATTTTCTTGATTGATTGACGTTGCGAAATTGCACSATTTTCATTATCAAATTAGATGCTAAATGTACAGTTAAATGTGTGTGTGTGTGTGTAGCACGTGCCTACTATTATTGTCTTGGAATATGCAATTTATATACGTTATAGTAGGAATATCAATTCAATTTGTTATCGATATACAAAATTTCGCGAATGTCAAATTCAAAGACTAGACTATAATAGATAAAGTCATCCACAGCTAATATTATTTACTATTATATTACCAGTAATGACGATTTCTGAATTCGAACGACTATCGATACGCAGTCGGAATGCCTTAGTGTGATTTAAGATAACAAATCGGATTTCATTCGTTTTATTATATTCATTTTCTCTTTTCGCTAGCAAGCTGAGTTATTTTCATTCTACATAGTTGATCTTTCAATCAGCTTATTGTGAACCGATTCCGTTGGGCTTTTTCGGATCAATTAATCATCTAAGCGGTTGGAGCGTCTGTATAACAATATTTGATTTCCCTGTACCGATTAATAGGTAGCTCTTTAAAGCCGGGAGCTGAAAACATTAATCACAAGTCTGGCCAGGCCGCAACTAATTGGCAATGTTCAAGAAGGTCAGTTTTACCAACAAAAAAAAAATTCCCATTTCACCTTTGCACCGGCGACATTGACATTGTTATCCGAAACGTAACCAATCGACCGATCAATTGGCCATTCGGAATCTACATTTAGGGCCGCTTTAAGTATTACGTTTACGTCGGAGATTGAGATTGGAGGTATTTTAATCTGGCCGCAGGGGGTGAATTGCTTTGATACCCGTAGCACGCAATAGTTGATCAAGTAATTGCTTATTAATACATAGCTGGATGAAAGTGTTCAATCGAAACACGATTAAATTAATAAAACTTAAATATTTGTAAATATTGGATTTTACAAATACTCACGAATTCATACTCACGATTCCATTAAATTAGTTTAAACAAGCTAAAATTTTTCATGATACGTAGAAATAATTTAATGACAAATATTAATCAAGAATTTGCATGTACATTTCTTCAAACATTTACTTAGTACAGCTAATACAATCATACGCTATTCAAAATATTCCATTGCATAAGTTTTTAAGGCAAAATGTAAGATTCTATTGATAAAATCATTTTTCCGCTCGTCACACTAATAATGTAGCCAATTAATTACAAACAAGCAATGAAATAAATTCCCTTTTATATAATATAAGATAACATAGATATGTATAAATTAATTGTGAGCATTTTGAAATGTCCGTTATTAAACAATTTGTCAGAAATTAATAGCTGGCGCCATCTATTGGCATTAGTCATCCACTTTAGCGACACCAGCCCATTTTTTACATTTCAACCTATCGCAATAAAACATCGAAACTATTTCGCATTGCACAAGGTATCGATAAGGTGGAGGAGGAATGCAATTCCTTTGTGAATGCAATCGATGTGCGATATATTTAAAAATAGTATCAACAATCATTGTGGTATGTATCGCCATTTTTAGGTACATCGACGCGTTTCATATTCAATTGAATTCAACTTATATTGGGTTGACATGGTAAGTAATATCTTAAATGCCATTATGTGCACTCTATAATTTTAATTCGTCATGTTGCAGCTGAAAACGAACTGCCTCGGCTCTTGGCTAGGCCTTGTGGTTGCGGCTTCGGTGCTTTGGCCAGCGACCCTCATCAACGGCTATGACAAAGAAATGACTGTGTATGTGGATGCCGGCAAAAAAGAGTGCCTGTACCACAACGTCAAGGTGGGTGAGATAATCGATTTCGAATACCAGGTAATAGATGGTGGTCACGGTGATCTGGATATCAGCTTTGCGCTCCTCGATCCCATCGGCCTGGTCATCGTGAGCGACTACAAGAAGCCGGAGAATATGCACCAGCACGAGGTGCAAAAGGAGGGCGACTACCGATTCTGCTTCGATAATAGCTTCAGCATGTTTAATCGCAAAACTGTCTTCTTCGAGTTGATAGTGGAGCGCGAAGGCGATCAAAATCATGGCGACGACCAATGGAAGGACGAGTTAACGGGCCTAACGCCCGACGAGTATTACGAGATGAAGGTGCAGGACATCATGGATTTCATTGGCCGCATACGCATGCAACTGACCAAGGCACGCCAGCTGCAGGATGTGCTGCGCTCACATGAGGCGCGCGATCGCAATCTGGCCGAGGCCAACTTCCAAAAGGTGAACAACTGGTCCCTGGTGCAGATCAGTGCCATGATCGGCGTTGGACTCATCCAGGTGTTTATGCTGCGCAGCATATTCGAGACGCATGGCCGGATGCATCAGCTGTGGCGCAAATTGGGCATTTGATGAGGTTAATCGTCGATCCACTCTAGCGTTTACCAAAGAAGTTGTTTGCATTTAATCATTTACCACGTAGAGGATGCAAATTGTTAATTATTAGTCACAAACTCTTTATCAACAACATAGTTACTAGCATTAATTAGGTTCTGAGTGTGTCTGCGTGTGTGTGTGTGTCTGAGTGTGCAGGTGTGTGTGTGTGCATTTATTATACAAAAGCAATTGTAATATAAGTTAAGCCATTGGGATCGGGCGAGCGATCTTTAATAAATAAAGCGTTGATGTAGAGGAAAAATAATATTTTGTCTATCTATAACTACAATATGTGTATTACAGTAGTTGGATCTATTCCAAGTACCAAGTCGGATGGTAATCGATTTCTCAACCATTTTAAAATGTAAACAGTTATTTTGATTTTCCAACCAATAGGGTTGACTAAAGGGTATTAAAATTCATTTTTTTCCATTTTAAAGTTCGTTTCTGCCGTGCTGACAATATGCGGCACGCGCTCATCTCTAATAAAGCAGTTATTTCACAGGTTGCCAACTTGAATGAACTTGCATTTACAGATTGTTTAGTTTAAACCTTAAGGAAATTTTCGAATTTGCCTTAACTTCATAATTATTAACTTTAATAATTTATGTGATTCCACGTTGTTATTCGAACCTTTGCGGGCTGCTACCTAATGGAAGATCTTTGATCTTTTTTTGCCGGCGCTTAAAATCCCATTTTAGTTTGGTTTGAAGTTTTCTTTCTCATTTAATTTACTAAAAAAAAAAAAAACAGATCCATATTATTACTAGGCATAATATTTATTGAAATTTCCTTCGCTCGCGACGGGCAGTGTGTGGAGTTGCTAAACGTGTGAAGGTTTCTGTTGGGTTGCTCCGATCTGCTGTGCTGCACTTGCACCTGCTCCGCTTGTCGCTTTTAACTCTGAACTGAATGCTTAAGCTTAGCCCTGCTTGTCGAGGCGCTTCTGGCGCTCCAGCAACCGGCGTTCACGTTCAAACTCCTTCATTCGTAGCACATAGTCCTCGTATTCGCAGGTGAGATAGTCGTGCTTCTCGTGCGCACACTGATAAACGAAAGGGAATTTTTCAGCGCGGCAGCCGCGATAGGCGAGCAGCTTGTGGGCACAATAATCACGCTCTTTTGGTGTCAGCTTGGCCGATACCATTTCCTCTTCGGTGGCTATCATGACGCGCTCCTTGCGTGAAGCAAAGCCCAGCATGGGATCGAAGCTGGGCACCACATCTGGGCCGGGCGTTACATCTGGCTTCAAATAATGATTGAGAGCGTTGCCCATCCTGTGCTAGGCAGTAGAAACACATACGTTAAATCCATGCAAATTGCAATAGAAAATAACAAAAATAAATTACGTAAAATGTTTCTCCTCGATTGTTGCTGCTGCGGCGCTGCTGTCAGTTCAGCTGTTGTTGTTGTAGGCTATTTGACAGCTGTTGTGATGCAGGGCTGCAAAAAGAACAATTTCGTGCACGAACAATCGATAAGCAGCGTTGTAACTTATTTTTAAATAAAGCGCCTCTATGAAATTAAGCTCAAAGTGAGTGAGATGTTTTATTATTCAAACTAAATTCAAACCAGCCGAAAGTATATTATCTGAATTATTTTAAGCTATATATATTTGCTTATCGATGGTATCGATGATGGCTCCATTTCAACCGCAAAAAAGGTCCTGTTGCCTGTTATCGATAAGTAGATGGCTCGCATAGCCAGTGGTGCAATCATACAACAAGAAATATGCATTAAGTTCGCCAATAGACTAGTTAATTTCTTAGTTATTTTATAAATGTTTGTGCAATAAAGTTGAGCCAAAAGTCAAGCTGTCAAAGCGTTTAGTTCTTAATTTGTAGTTATTCGGTGGCAAGTGTGCGTCTCCCAACAGAAAAGTCGGTAGTCGGTCTATAACGGTATAAGCTATAACGGCACACACATGTACATACAGAGGATATACGTGTATATATATATCTGAAGCGCATACATAAAATCGATTTGGGGGAAACCGCAACGCAAGAGGCAACGCATTTGCAAATTGCTTAAGCGCAATGGTTGGATTATTGAATCCAATGAAATATGGCGATCATTTCTATGAATTGTACACAAGCAATACACGCAGGTAAGTGTAAATAAGAACAATGGGCCATCCGGCGGGGTGGTGGCGGCTGCGGCCGAGGATGTGTCGCCGACATTGCATCTGGGGTTGAAAAAATCGATCGATTTGCCGTTGGCCCAATGTATGTATGTGTATGTAGGTCTTCAACCCCTAGCTGGGCGGCTCTGTCTGTTTCGACGGGGTTGAAATTTGGCGCCTGCAGTTTTGCACGACAAGTGGGCAGCACTGCCACAAACAGCTGATCGATAACAGCTGTTCGCGACCTGCATTAATTTGTTTGTTGTTAAATCGATAAGCTATGTACTGTTTAATGTATGTATGAATGAATGTATGTATGTGCATACGTATGTATGAATGTATATGCAAAGCAGCTTAATCGATTCCCAAATTTAAAGACCCGAACCAACTTTATATCCCTCGCCCACTCCACTACTATTATACTCTTACTCTGACCCAATCTCACTTTCGTATTCTCTCTCTCTCTCTCTCTATCTCTCTCCCACACGCAGAAAGTTGCAAAATGAGCGCAAGGCTCTTACAAAGCGCAAGAGCCGCAAGGAGAAATCGGCAGCAGCGATGGCAGCCGCCGCTGCAGCTGCTGTGCTGGAGGGAAATGCAGCTGGCGGCGCGGGAGCCGGCATTGTAAACCCATTGGATCCGCCGTTGGTTAAGGACCAGTTGCTGTTCATGCCGGCATTTCCGGTGGCCCACATTGAGCTCGATCCAAATGCATCGAAATTTGCCGTTTTCGCAGCCATACGCTCCACGGTGCTGGAGGCAGAGACACGCTTTGCGCTCTTCCATGAGAGCAATGGGCATGGCGCCATGGCCACTGCATCAGCGCTCAAGAAGTGGAGCGGGAATATGGGCTCGTCCTGTTGTTTGGTCTGTGCAGGCAGCTGTATGGTCAGCAATCTGGTTGATTGCTCCTGCCACGCACCGCTTGCAGTGGGAGCCGGCGGCGGCGGGGCAGGTGCAGGTGCTGCAGCAGCGGGAGCCGCTGGTGCAGCTGGTGGAGGGGCGGACAAGCGCACGACAAACAGCGCCAATAGCGACGCCGACTCGGACACAGATGAGCCGGAAGAGCGCGAGCCAGTCTATGCCACTGTGCCGCTAATTGTGGGCGCTGGACTGCGAAGTTTGTTCGAGCTGATCGCGGACGCACGCCACATCCAGCCATTGCTCTGCACCAAGGCATTAAAAGCGCTACTCGATGTCATACAGGGTCAGCAACCGGAATCGTTTAAGCTTGAGCCGGAGGATCTGATTAATCCGCTTTACGATCTGCTGCTGGATCTGGCCACCATGCCTGCGGCGCTCACCTCCAGCACTGGCGCCGAGGCCAACTGGTCAGCGATGGCATGTGCCGCTCTCCTTGGCCTCTGCATCGCGCGCGGCGACACGGGCAAAATGCTAAAGGCAATCGCCGCCATGCTCATGTCCCCACGGCAACTCTCCGCCCAGATTATCCAACTGCCCGCCGTATTGGCTTCTCTGCAGCATACGGTAGTTAGTGCAGCACTCAACAAGCCAACTCGTCCAGACTTCCATACCCATGGAGTGCCACACAATTCTCTAATCGATGAGGTGAGTAAGCGTAAAGATAGCAAACCCTATGAGACATGAGTTTTTGAAATGAAAGTATTAGATCAGGGAATATTTATCTATTGAAAGAAGTTGGAAGTTCTACTTCTTTCACTGAACTAAATACTAAAAATGTCCTTCAGGGCTTAGAGGAAATAGAAAAGGATTGCACCTATAGTAAATATATAGTCGAATATCTTGTTATAATACAACATTTATTTAAGAAACATGAGCATGAAATATGATCCTCATCATCACCGCCATTCTAATACTTTGTTCCACTTTTTGCAGTTCACCTTGAAGCTGCCTGTGCTGACGGCTCCCCAGCAACATATGGCGCCGGCCATGGCCTGCGATGGCGTCTTTGTGTATGTGCTATACGGCGGAGCATTGCTGAAGATCGGCACCGGCTTCGGGGGCTCCTACAAGGGGCATATCTATGCACAAAACGACGAGTTCTGTCGGGAGCGCAGCGCCTGGCTGGGCTACAGCGGCGGCCAATTGTACTTCCGTCGCAATTGCAAGCGAAGCGCGGATCAGCTGCAGCTGGTGGGCATGGACACGCTGGCGGTCAAGTCAATGAATCCACTCAACATGCTCTCAATGCGCGAAGGCCTCAACTATGTGCTCTTCACGGACGACGATTCATTGCATGCCATATGTAGTAATCGCGATGTGAGTAAAAGTCATTATCTAGATTGTCTATGGTCACCAAATACATATGCAATCGAGATTAGGTCTGAACATAGAAAGGGGTTGAGTCATATAATATAATCATATAATCAATAATAACAACTGAATATACCGCTAACTATATACTTATGTAGGAGGATTAAAGAAAACTTATTCTAGTCTAAAAGGAAGAGCAAAGAATAATAGATAGAGCATTATTCAACATTGCAACTTCAAGGATAATAAATAGAGTAATATATGTACATTAATACATACGTATGTAATCTGTGTACATTTTATATAGTTTAGATATTTATATTTGATCAAGCGTTTCATCTGTGGTTTGCATGAAATGCAAGAATTATCACTTTAAAATTTTTGATGAGCACGAAAACTATGATGATACTAAAAATATACAAATCAAAACTTGATAAAACTTTAAATATATAATAGTTAGGACCTACTAATTCCTAATTCCAAATTTTGTATAAATATCAAGTATACGCCTTGATAAACTATTGAAATGTTTTGCGAAATTGTTGACCTGGATTTGCTTATCAATATGATTTGTCCTTCATCTTAGTAATAACAGATTAGTTTTTGTACATCATAGAATTGATTTGATTAAAATCGGAGTTTCCATTGTTGAGATATAACTTCTTAAGAACTGTTAGATCTGTTCAAGTTAAGCGACTTATAAGCTTATGGAAGACTGTTGATGGAAAAGAGTTCAGGAAAGCGTATGTTCTAGCTTCTCAGGTGGTACAGGTGGGATGGATTTTATTGGGATTTGAAGAATCCCAGATGCAAGTTAGCCATTCTTTATACATTATGTAAGACAAATTTTTAGATGCCCTAAAGAAACAGCCAAGTGAATGGATTTGACCATAGAACTCAAAGAAAAATCTCTTAGCAATAGGAAACAACAGGATAATTTCCAATAAGAAACCTTCACTAGGCTAAAGTGACTTTTATATATATATTAATAATGTCTCCTCTCAATTACAGGACACACTGGTGGTTAAGAAACTGAATCTGTATCACAATAGCTACAGCAGCGAGCCGCCGCCGTTCGAGCTGCCGTTGCAGTTGGCCCGCAAGAAATTCCGGACGCTGGGCTACGCGGCGTTCGAGGATGAGCTGCTCAATCAGCAGCAGATCCAGCGCATTCAGTCGGCGCACAACAGCTTTGAGCCGAAGCTGCCGGCGCCGTGTCGCGATGCCGATGTCCTGGGCATGGCCTGCGGCAAGGAGTTTGGCATCGTGCGCGCCAGCAATGGCCGTGTCTACTACTACGGCAAACCGGCGGCTCTTGGGCTGAAGTGTGTGGGCCGCACACCGACACTGAAGCTAACCGAGCTGATTGTCTCGAAGGCGGCGCACATTGTCCATGTGGCCGTGGGGCACGATGGGATACACGCGCTGCTCGTCAACGACGATGGCACCGTCTATTTTGCGGGCACGGCACGCCGAGGCGAGGATGGCGACAGCTCGAAGAATCGCCGTCAACCCAAAGCTGTGAAGCCAAAGAAGATGAGCAAAATCGATGGCCATGTGGTGGTGCATGCCGCTTGCAACAACGGCACCTCCGCCTTTGTGACCAAAACGGGCAAGCTGATTATGTACGGCAAAGATACGGCCCACTGCGATTCGATGGGCTTTGTCAGCGAGCTGCTCGATCAGCACATAACCAAAGTGGCCCTGGGCAAGGCGCATTGCGTGGCACTGAACGCCAAGGGGCAGGTCTTCACCTTTGGCCTGAACAACAAGGGCCAGTGCGGACGGGTGTTCAACAAAATGATGCCCGTCCGGGATGTGCCCAGCTCTTCGGCTGCCTACGCACTGCTCGGCTTGCATAGCGACAAGCTGCGGCACAAACTGGATTTCTCGACGCTCTGCGACTACGACGATCACAATTTGGTGCAGGGCCAGTGCCGCGTGTGTGTCATGTGCCGCGAGTGCACCGGCTACAATGTCAGCTGCGTCTCGGCGTTGAATGTGCCGCTCGAGCAGCGTTTGGCTGGCAGCATTTGCCCCTGCGGCCATGGCGATGCAGGCTGTGCCAAATGCGGCCTGTGCGCCGCTTGCGTGGCGCTCCAGGAAAGCGAAATAGGTGAGGGAAACCTGGCTTTATGCATACATATTGATTGGTTCTAACGACAGTATTTCTCGAACACTTGCAGTGGCCGCAGATGCCAAGGCGGAGCTGAAGCCGCTGCCAGGTGAGCTGCAGCGCCAGCAGCGCTCCAAGACGCTGATCATGCGGCGTAAGGAAAAGAAGCCCTCGGAGCTGGAGACGGGCGCCGCTGGCTGTGCCGGCGGTGGCGGCACACCCACCGACCTGGACAAGGACCCACCGCGTGTGGCACCGCTGGCGCCGCAAGTGCTGCAGCTGCCCAGCGCGTCGCCGGTGGTGCAAGTGGCGTGCGGCCTTCACCACACCGTGGTGCTAACCTTGGCCGGCGAGGTGTTCACCTTCGGCAGCAATCAGTACGGTCAGCTGGGCAGCGGAGATCTGCAGGCAGTCACTGGAGCGATACGTGTGCAGGTGCAGGGCGCCATTAGCCAGGTGGCTGCTGGCAGCAACCACACCGTGCTGCTCACACACAAGGGTGTTGTCTACACATTCGGCAACTACCAGAAGGGACAGCTGGGCCGGCTGCCCGGCGACTATGGCCAGAAGACGGTGCCGAACAGTGTGATTGCCCAGCAGCAGCAGTTGCAGCTGCAGCAGCAGGACGATGAGACGGCCACACAGGAGGCCGCCTGCGTGCTACCCGGTGGCTCCAAGGAGACCATCCTCATACCGCCCAACACAGCTGCCCTCATAGCGCAGCGCCAGAAGTTTCTATGGAACTGTGCACCCGGTGCCGTCTTGTAAATATCGCTTGATTCTTCACAACTCATGCATCAGTTACTTATGTTTGTATTCCCTGTTGCAGTGGCTTGGGCCCCAGCTATGGCAAAAAGGTCACCTGGATCGGGGCCAATGGCGACCAGACCTTCATCAAGATTGACGAGTCACTGATCACAGCTCAAATGCTGCCCAAGATGCACGTGGTGGCCAACAAGAAGACCATATGTTAGTATATGCCCTTTATTATAAAGAACTCGTGTATATTATATTGTTTATATTATTGTGCTTTGTGCTTAGCTAAAAGTTATATATTTACCTTTATATACATTACATCCATCTGGACTGCACTTTGTACCTACTTTATAAGCTATCATCTGGATACCTAATAGTCTAATTCATTCACTGATATACTAATTGGATAAACCCAACTAACCTTCCGTCTGTCTCTCCTCCTCCTCCTGTCTTTCTAGTACTCATACCCAGCATACCGCTGTCCTTTCACACGCTCTCCATAAACCGCAGCGACGGCAGCTGCACGCCACATTATCGCGGCCAAACCAACTTTTCCAAGCTGCTGCAGACGCAGCAGCAACACGGGCAGCCGGAAATCAATCGGAATGTGGATGTGGCGACGCCTTTGATGGCCGACCTGCCGTCGGTCGGCAGCAGCACAGCCGGGGTGCCCATCAATGAGCAGATGTCGCGCAGCATGCACGAGGCACGCAATCACATTTTCGAGGATCAGCATATGGAGGTGGCTCAGCCAACATCGCTGACGGCCAGCCCGCGACTTCCACGACGCATTCGACCTCGTCCAGATGCAGCAGCCGCTGCTGCTGCTGGCGGCTGTCCAGTCGCTGCATCGCCCACAGAACAGCAGACGCTGCCCACGCAAATAGCCTTTGCCATGGATCCCAGCTATAACGTGCTCTGGGTCTTCGATGGTGTTGCCCGTAAGCTGCGCTGCCACAATGTAGTCGCCAGCGAAATATCCGAATGTGATGTGGTAGGTGCTCCGACCTGCATAGATCTCTCCTAGATGCTGATCTCTCCTTTGCCTATTTGCAGAATGCGGCCAATTATCGAGCGCTGCTGTCGCCGGAGCTATCGTTGCCGTGCAAGGCCGAGGCGCGCGTTTCACGCTCGCAGGCATCGCTGAATCTATTGGCCTGCTTGGATATACTGACATCCGCACAAGATAATATACCCGGCTGCTTTGAGCAGGCGCTGCCGCAGCAGACCCAGCAGGCGGCAGAGGCGCAGAGCGGCGAGTATCAGGTTGTGAATCGCTTCGATAACTTCGGCGGCGGCTGGGGCTATTCGGGTCACAGTGTGGAGGCGGTGCGCTTCTCAGCGGACACGGACATTGTGATTTGCGGATTTGGCATGTTCGGCGGCCGTGGCGAATACAGCTGCAAGCTGAAGCTGTTCGATCTGGGCACCGATGGCGGTGGCTACGAGAAGGAGGGCATCCTCATCAGCGAGACCAAGGAGGTGCCATACGAGTGCGCCGCACGCAGCAAACACCATATTTTGCTACCGAAGCCGGTGAGTGCAGCGGCGGGACGCTGGTATTTGGTGTGGGCGCGCATTGCGGGCCCCTCCTCGGACTGTGGCTCTTGCGGCCAGGCATCTGTGACCACCGAGGATCAGGTGGTCTTCTCCTTCAAGTCCAGCAAGAAGGCCAACAACGGCACCGACGTCAACTCCGGCCAAATACCCGCCATACTCTATCGTCTGGTCACACAGGACTGCAAGCAGCCGTCGGTGCCCCACGATGCGGATCCCGTGCAGCGTATTTCGCGCGCCTTCGCCAACAGCGTGAGCCGCGAGTGCTTTGAGAGCTTGGTGGTGCTGCTTAGCTGGTCATGGGACTGCTTTAAGACTCAGCTACGCGAGCAGCGGGATCGTGCCAGACCATTGCAGTTGCAGCAAACGCTTCAGTATCTGGGCTATGTTAATAAATCCTGTCTGCGACTGCTGCGCAAATACACCAACGAGATTTATCCGCAGCGCGCAACAACAGCGTCAACAGCAACAACAGCACCAACACAAGCCGCAGCAGCAGCAGCAGGAACATCAGCAGCTGCTGCTGCTTCCACGGCTAGCACTTCAGCTGCGGGTGGAGCCGTTGCCGCCGCTCTCCCCAAACTGCAACAAAAATCGAATAACAAAGGTATAGAATCAATCAATTAAATGACGCTGCTGCCTCAGCTCCAATCGCTTTTGCTCTTTACAGACAAATCATCAAATCGCGCAGCCAGCAGTGCGGGCAGCGCCCAGCTGAGCAGCTCTCTGTCCGGCACTTCGATGACACGCAAACCCAATATGGAGAACATTCAGCTAGCCGAATGCATTGGCAATGTTCGCGCTCTGCTCATTGGCATCTTTTGCGATGACATCTTCAAGGATATTGCCACGGATGAGGGTGAGTCAATCAATACATGTACATATATACACATATACATATATGTATGTACTTATGTATATCTAACATGAACTCTCCCTTCCATGTAATACCAGGCTATGCCTTGGTCCTGGAAATTCTGGACGAATGCCATTTGAGCTTTGTGGCCTGCTTTGATGCATTCTATCCGACTTCGTCGCTCAAGTGGAACTGCCTGTGCGATTTGTTGGCCCAAATGGACCGCGGAGCACTGCACTCTCGCCTGCTGAGCGCGATCCTAGCCGGGCTCTGCTCGCCCACGGTGAAGCTACGCGCCACGTTCTCCCTGCTCAATGCGGCCGGCAATGAGCGTCAGTCGATTATCAGCCCAAGCGACAATTCGGGCCTGCCCATGCTATCCTCAACGGAGGCGCATCAATATCCCATACTTGTGGAGCAGATGATCTATCGCACGCAGCAGGAGAAGAGCGACTTTCTGAGCAACTCGTGGACGTTCAAGGATGTGCTGGTGCGTCTGCTGGACATAATAGCCAATCCGATTAGGGCGCGAATCGAGTCCATCTACAGCCGCTGCCTGGGCGGCAGCTATGCACTAAAGGAGTGCATCAATCAGGGCCTCATCGATAACTGTTGCCATCTGCTAGCCCGCGTGCTGGCCGAGATTGTCTATCAGACAGCTCTGGGCGAATACGATAAATTGTTTCTGCCGCCTCGTACGCTGCACTCGACCAGCTCGCGGTTCGCCCGCTGCGATTTGAGTCGCACCTGGAACACGGGCAACTTTGGACCGGACGCGATTGCCTTCTCGGTGGATCGGCCGGGCATAGCCATAGCTGGCGCCATGGTCTACTCCGGCTCGGGCAGCTATGACTATCAGCTGGAACTGCTATATGATAATACAGTTGACCTGCAGCCACAGCACAAGTGGGAAACACTGGAGTCTATATCAGGCAGCTACGATCAGGAGGCCGTGCACAATGATTTAGCCGAGATTAAGTTTGAGCATCCGGTCCATATCAAGGAGCATGCACGCTACGCCCTGCGCCTCTGTTCCCAGGGCGCGCGCACCTGCTCCGGCGATGCCGGCATGCCCACGGTGCGCGGTCCATGCGGCGCCAACTTTCATTTCTATGCGTGCGACTTGAGCTTCAATGGCACCACGCCCGCGCGCGGCCAACTACCCATCATACTGTACTACAGCACGCCCGTCAAGCAGCACCAACAGCACCAGCACCAGCATCAGCACCAACACCAACACCAGCATCTGCAGCAGCAACAGCAGCCCGAGTTGACGGGTTGCTCGTCAGATGCTGCACATGTCGGCGCCTTGGCCAGCAACGAGGTGTCCACGCGGGATACGGCCTTGCAAATCGCCGCGGACATAACCAAAAAGTGCACAGAGCTGCTCATACTGGCGCGCAATGCCATGGCCGCCTCCTGCTCGCCGACGGACAACTCGTCGTCGAACCATACGCAGACCATTGATTCGGAGCACAACATAACGCCCATTGAGGAGCACATGGACATTAACTGGGCAAACAATTCGCGAACAGCGGCGCTGCCTGTGGATCCACAGCTGTCGACGACGGCAAGGGATCTGGGCAAACGCATCGAGTCCTTCTCCAAGGGCATCATGGAGACGCTGAAATTCGATAAGCGCTCAACGAATCCCTTCGAAATGGAAATCGAAATTGGGGCCACCGAAATCGGCGTCGAGGAGACGGCCGAAATGAATTTCTCCAATGTGCAATTGGCCGCCAAGCTCAATGGAAATGAGCGTGCCGAGTACGAGCTGGCGGCCGAGGAGCCGTTGCCCGGACAGCAGCAGCAGCAACAACAGTTGCAACAGCAACAGCAGCTACAGCTGCAGCAGCAGCAACAGTTGCCGCCACAACAGCTGCAACAGCAGCAGCTGCCAACGCAGATGCCACAGCAGCTGCTGCACTCGGACTCGGAGGAGGCGCAAATTGTGGGCGGCGGTGTTGCCGCTATGCAACTGCTGGAGGTATTCAATTTGGCCGCCTCGAATATGTTTCACACGCTGCTGCCACTGGTCTATGCTCACATCTCCAATTTGGCCTGCAGCGATCCAAAGAGCTCGGTGCAAATCCTTGGCTTGATCAAGGAGATATTGCCGCACATTGCAGCGCTCAATCAGCTGCATGTGTCGAAAGACCAGCGTTCGGAGCAACTGAGACCGGAACCAACGCCTGCCAGCAGCACCACCAGCAATCATTATTGCATTGTGGAGAGCGAGCATCCGTATCGCAGCGCCAGCATCAGTTGCTATCGGGTCGAGTTTCCGCCCTGCGTCCAGTGGCTGACCATTGAGTTTGACTCACAGTGCGGCACCGCCCAGCTGGAGGACTATTTGCTGCTCTCGATTCCCATGCGCCCGACAGCGTCGGCAGCAGCTGCCACACCGCCCTGCCAATCGAGCACAACGCCAACAACAACAGCAGCACCGTCTACTGGCCCTGGCGAGGAATACTATGATCTGCTCGATAATAATGTGAGCACACGACGCACACACAACGCCCACTTACAGATGACCAGCTGCTGTCGCACGACCGGCTCTCTACCCGAGCCGACAGCGCTCAATCCCGATTGGATTGTCGTCAAGAAGTTCAATACGTAAGTAGAGCATAATACCATAATAGCGCCTCTCTCACATATGTGCGTCTCTTGCTTACAGCGCCTCCAACTGGCTGCAGAACGTTCTAATTTTGCCTGGCAACTGCGTGGAGTTCTCCTTGGAGACGGCCTCACTGTACGCCCAGGATCCGCACAATAATCGCTATGGCTTCAAGTGCTTGGTGGTTGGCTACGATAATCCCACAGCGGTAAGCTCTACCACACGCATCATCCATCTCTGTTTAAACTATTCAAAACTATTTCCCTCTCGCTCAGATCAATGCTAGCAATTCATGTCTCATACGGCTGGAGCAGGAGCTGTCCTATCTGGGCGGCATGTGCAGCGCTAATTTAATGAAAAAGGATCTCAATCTGCCGGGTAAGAAACTATATATTTTTATATTCATACCTTTACTTATATAATTAATACGATATACAGCTGCCGGTCTGTCCGTTTCGATTCAAAATAGTCTCATTCTAAAACTCTTTTAAAAACTTTTGCAGAGATCCCTTGTAGTGCGATCTTCCTAAATATATGTATATGCATACATATATCACTATTTTCTATTTAATCTATATCAGCTATCATATGATGATATACTGTAAGAGAACCCAACTAAAGAATCTATTTACAGTCACCATAAGAATTTTGTTTGCAATTGCAAAATATCTATGAACATGTTTTCTGTAGGCTTTCCTCTTTAGCTTTGGTTATTTTATTAAAATACTTAACAATCCCATTAATATTCTTATAAATCTTTATTCAAATATCATGCAGAAGACAAGGAAGTAGACGACATGAGTGGCGTTGAGGAGACAATCAGCACGCATCATGCACTCCTCTCGAAAGGCTTTGCGCTCTCAGAACCACAGCTGACTGTGCATCAGGCATTGGAATCATATCTGCCCATTGGGTAAGTTGTAGAGCCTATATCTAGACAATATTGGAAAGTCGTAGTGTATATCTTCACGTCAATATATCTTGTAAATTCCTGGAAAAATGATCTGCATATTTTTCACAGTGGTTTCAGCGAGTGATTTTCTCTCCCAAAAATATGATATACATACATATATTATTATTCTCTATTTGTGCGTGTATTTTATATACAGGAATAAGTTTCAGATATGCGTGTTCGAATCTATAAAATACTTTAGCATTAACGCATTCCTCTGACTAACCCAAATAGTTTGTGTAAATGTAGTTAAAATAAGCCCATTCAACAGACCAAGCTTACATTCTGGATTCTTAAGAATGTTAACATCACATTTATGTTAAATAACATTCGATCAGTACTGCTACAGGTTGTCTTCTTATTACAAATACATTTACCTTGAGATTGACTTCTTTGTTTATATTTTAAAAAGAATCGCATTCTCTATATACAACTTATATAATTTAGGGATTAGCATATGTTTAGTGTTTACCATAGATAGGATTATTTCGATTATGTTAAGCGTTATAAACTAAACGTACGCTAAAAATTTGGTACAAAAAAAGGTCACTCTTGGTGGTGGTTCTTGGTGGTGGTAGTGGTCTTGGTGGTGTTGCCGCTCCGCTTAAGCTAGCGTCTTTCAGCTGTGTATATATGTGTGTGTGTGTGTGCGTTTGTGTATGTGTGTGTATGTGTATGGCTTTACAAATCAGTCTTGAGCAGGCCAGCGTTCTCGATTTGGTATACAATTTGTGTCTCTTTGTAGGTGCGGGGCTCTGGCTGCACCACATCCAGCTTGCGTCGTCGACGCTGCTGCGCCAGCCGCCACCAGAGCAGCARCAGCAGCAGCAACACCAGCAGCGCCAGCAGCACGCTGCCCGCCACAATGTACGCCGTATAGCTAGTCTTTTGGCATTGCTCGGCGATCAGCTGACGCAGCGGCACAAATGGTGCTGGCACCGCCTGTGGCTCGTTGGCGACGGCACGGAACATTAGCTGCTCGCTGTGCTGGCGAAAGAATTCGGCACGCGGCTGCGGCGGCTGAGCATTCATATCCAGCTGCTCACAGCTCCAGGCATTCTCGTATCTCAGCTGCCGTATGCTCAGAGCGAAGCGCTCATCGAAGCGCAATGGCTGAGCCGCTACTCCAGGCACCTTGCCGCCCGGTGGCAGACTCTGCACTGTGTTGTTGTGGAAGCGCAGCTCCAGCCGTTCGCTCAGCTGATAGTCGCGATGCACGCCCAGGCTGCGAAAGGCTATCTCGCTGGTGGCACCAAACTGATTGCCTCGCAACGTAATCGCGTCCTTGATGTAAGCCTCCAGCCATTCCCCATCCACGGCCGCGAAACGATTCTCGCTGAGACTCAGCTTGGAGATGACTGCGGGCCACGAAACGGATATAGATGAGAAATGCAATATTCTCGGCATTTATGTGTATAGCTAATCAGTGTGGCTTACGCTTGAAGGAGAAGGCGTGCGAATGCACCTCCTGGAACTGATTGTTGTGCATCGCCAGCTCGTTGCTCACCTCCAGCTCGTAAAAAAAAAGCGTCGGCAAATTTCCAATAAAATTGCAATTACTTATTATCAGCTTCTCCAAAAAAAAATTCTTGAAGGCCTGGAAAGTTGTAAAAATTATTTATATATTAATAAGAGATAAAAAAAAAATAAGGAAAGAGTTTCTTTCATCCTCTCTTGGGCCGGGATCAAGCAAAGAGAATGGCTCGGTCTCAACCTCTAAATTAATATCAAGAGGCTTTTCGATCCTTATAGTAAAAAAAAAAGTACTTCCCTCTTTATACAAGAAGTTTCAAGACCATATGAAACATTTTAGTAAAAAAAAACAATAGAATCGAATGAAATAACACTCTACAAAAATTCTATTTTATATATTAAATTCATATCCATATTTAAATTTCAAGTTAAAAATATTTTGAAGTTAAAAATATGTAGTGCAAAAATGTGCCCATAAACAATTGAAATGGCAATCTATCTTTTCAACTATAAGTCCCAACAGATACATTCATGGCTTAATCTAACAAATATAAGAAAGGGCAGGCTGTATGATAAAATGGATATATTTCGGTGGCTCACCTGACTCTCGATGCGCTGTACGGTAACGCCGTCAAGCTTGAGCAAGATGGCAGTATCCTTGATGGTGGTGAAGCCAAATGGGTGCATTTGCTCGATGCGGCCCCGGGTGAATGAGATCTCCTCGATGTTGCCGCTGATCGCATGAGAGGCGATCAACTGAAAGTTGACGTCCTCGAAGTCAACAATAAGCGCCTTGTTGCTGGCATCTCGGGGCACGCTCAATGCGCTCTGCTGCAGCACCAGACGTTGCAGCTGCTTGAAACTGATCTTGCGCAGGCCTTCTGTATTATCCAAAGCGTTTGGCTCCACAGTCAAATCGCGACAATTGCGTATGACAACCTGAAAAACCGCGCCATGCAGCTGTGGCAGCACCATGGGCTACAGAGGAGAGGCAAGACATAGACGAAAATTGGAACGTATCAGAATGTGTTTAAATTTCGAGTACTTAACGAAAATAACTATATGCCTATTCCGAAATATTCCCAACTATAAATTATTTATAAATAATTTTTCAATTGTTTCCCTGCTTCCCATTTAATCAGTCCACCTATTTTATGCTCGCTCATGAAGTGAAAAGAGTATATTGGCTTTTTGCAATGTYTACCTTGTTGTTTGTTTGTCTGTCCCTAATTCGAGAGATTTTACTTTTCTCTCTATGTACCATGATTTGTTAGCCAAAGCTCATAAATTTCCCATATATATCTGATACCTTCCCTTCCTAAGTTCTTTATGGATCACTGTTGATCCTTAATACAGATAATTCTATGAGGCCAGTAAGATCAAATCACGATTGAATCAAACGACAAAGTATTCGACAGCAAAAATATGTTTTTCACTATTTTTATATGAAGCCTTTGCAGATCTCTAATCTTATGATGGCATACCAAAAAGTTGATATCTCTTATTGCAAAAGTTTCTCACACTTACATATCTGCAATATACATAGATGATTAATACAAAGATAAGCTCATTCTCATTCAACCTTATAAGTAAAAAATGATATTTATGACATCTTTTTAAGCGCATCTTTGCAGACTTTCTCAAAGGCTCATAAGATGACATATCAAAGGACATGTTTTTAGTATCTGCAGACATTCTCAGTTCTATTCAAAAATTGTACTAACAATAGTTTCGTCAAGCACTTTACATATATCTATAACGATGATGTAATCCAAATGATATAAGTAGTTAGATTTTTATGTTTGAACACGGTTTTTCGTTGAGTGTAGACATACATACATACACATTGCTGACTCACCTGCTCATCGTTGTTGCAATCGCAGGTAATAGTGGTGTCGTGCTCGGTGCAGCCGACCTTTGGCAGTGCCGTCGCTGTGCCCGTTCTGGGCCAGCAGAGCAACCACAACAACCACAACAGCACCACAGCTGTGGGATCCTTTAGATTTCGGATATTTCGCATTTTGCTTTGGTTCACGAAAATTCGGACTTTTCTTCCTCACAACAAGCTGGGCATAGTCGAAGTGAATAATTTTGTTCCAGTTGCCTTCACTTTGGTTTTGCGTCTGTGTTGCTCTCTCTCTCTCTCTCTCTCTCTCTTACTCTCCTCTCTCTCTCGGTTTCTATTTCGTTCCACGCTCCAATTCTATACTCTAATAACCCATCCCTCCCTCTCACGCTCTCGCTTTCTATCTTTCATATGTTCAGTCGAGCTCTTGCCTTACTTGGCTGTTCCGTTCCTCTTTCGTTCCGTTCATAGGTGCTGATAAGAGAAGAAAAATATAATTTTTATCGCTGAAGGTGTTTTTTTGTTTAGCTTATCAATGTTTTTGTTGTGCGTGTGTGTGTCACCAACAGTGGGATCTGGCTTATTTTCAAGTGCGACTGCGGAATAAATTTGGGAATTGCAGATAGCGGAAAATCTAGCTAATTTAAGAATCGAAAAGGCTATCGACATTCGATATCGTGGTGGAGTGTCGAAGCCAAGTAAATTTAATAAAAAATGAAATAAGAAACAGGATAAACGTTGATACGTTAAATTCAATATTAACCATAGGGTAAACGCTTAAAAAATGGCTGTCCCATTAAAACAGAAACCAATATTTTTTTTAATTTTACATCCGAATTAAGTCGACATAACAAATGTTGATTTTATTATAGAGTTTTTCCAAACAAGGGCATTTAAATTATTAGCCTGAAGAGTCCGTTGACTATCTAATGGCATGAATGTAACAAAAATCGAAATTTCTAATTTCGTTTTGTTTTTCATGAATATGAAAATATTATTTTTCATCTATTTTTCTGGGACTTAGCTTATTATACCCTGAACCCATTGAAAATGGGAAATCAGGGTATAATGGTTTTGTGAAAAAGTATGTAACGGGCAGAAGGAGGCGTGGCAGACC